AGCCTCCCAAAGGCGCGGGATTACAGGCTGAGCCACTGAGCCCGGCTTTTTTTTTTTTAAGAGACAGGGTCTTACTCTAAGCTAGGGCGCAACTGTAGTTCACTGCAGCCTCAAACTCCTGGCCTCAGGTAATTCTCAGCCTCCCAAGTAGCTAGGACTACAGGTATGTACCACCAAGCCAGGAGATGTATATATATATATACATACATTTTTTTTGAGTTGGAGTCTCACTCTGTTGCCTAGGTTGGAGCAAAGTGGCATGCTCACAGCCACCACCATTTATTGCAGATGAGGTCTGGCCAAGTTGCCCAGGCTGGTCTCAAATTCCTGGGCTTAAGCAATCCTCTCACCTCAGCCACTACACCTGGCCATAGTTAATATTTTAAATTTTTTAATCTTTTGCCTATAGTCAATGTACTTCAAAATTTACAAGGAGGCTGGGTGCGACTATAATCCCAGCACTTTGGGAGGCCGAGGTAAGAGGACTGCCTGAGCCCACAAGTTCAAGATCCGTCTGGGCAACTTGGCAAGACCTCATCTCTACAATAAATCAAAAAAATTAGCCAGGCATGGTGGCACACACCTGTAATTCCAGCTACTTGGAAGGCTGAGGTGGAAGGATAGCCTGAGCCCAGCGGGTTGAGGCTGCGATGGCTGTGAGCGTGCCACTGCACTCCAGCCTGGGTGACAGAATGAGACTCCGACTCAAAAAAAAAAAAAAAAAAAAAAAATTACATGGAGCCCCTATAAAGTGGAAGAAATTATCTATTCCTACAAAGGATATAAAGTTTGAGTTCCTGTTCCAAAGGTACTTAACAGCTAGGGAGAAGTAAGACAAATACAGAAATGACTCAAATGTATCTGAAATAAAAATAAACATCCTATACAAAAATATCATATTAGGCTGTTTCCAAGGAAGGCAAAGCTAAATGTGTTTTTTTCTTTTCCTTGTTTCTTTAAGGGAAAGTAGGAAGGGGAACTTCATCATTAATGCCTCTACAAAATAGCAGTGCTTCAGATGGACCTTGAAAGTCAAACAGAACATTTCTGGAGGGTAAGGATATATATACAAATATCAGTATTTTGGTGAATTGTTAAGTAAGTGAACCAAGCCCAAGTAAAGGGAAAATAAGTGTGAACAAAAACATTTAAAAAAGTCAAGGGACATATGTTGACAAGGGTAAGTAGGACTTCTGGTTAAAACAAAGGATTAAGAGTGGTAAGAACCAGGCACGATGGTGCATGCCTGTAATCCCAGCACCTTGGGAGGCAGAGGACTACCTGAGCCCAGAAATTCGAAACTAGCCTGGGCAACTTGGCAAGACCTTGTCTCTACAATAAATCAAAATATTAGTTGGACATGGTGGCGCACATCTGTGGTTCCAGTTACTTGAAAGGGTGAGGCAGAAGGATCGCCTGAGACCAGCAGATAGAGATTGCAGTAGCTGTGAATGTGCCACTGCACTCCAGCATGGACAAAAGAGTGAGACTCTCATTCAAAAGAAAAGAAAGAAAGAAGTAGTAGGGGAAAGGGCTGAAGAGTAGACCAAGGTAACTTTGTTATCAGATAATCAAAAAGGAGCCAATAGGGAGTAGGGAAGTGATATGTATAAATCTATACTTTTCTAGGAAGAACAGCAGTACTGTGAAGAGACAAATAGCCAAAAAAAGGTGAGGTGATAAGATACTAAACCAGGATGAGGTAGACCAAACAGACGAGAAAACTGAAAGATACTATGGAGGTAGAATCAAAATGATCTGGAGGGAAAATGAACGTACAGGGTAGGAAAGCCTAAGATGGCTTGAGGCCCCTGTTTCTAATACTAGGGTATATAATACAGTGGCATGATCCCGGGTCACTGCAGCCTTGAACACCTGAGCTCAGATGATTCTCCTGCCTCAGATTCCCAAGTAGTTGGAACTACAGGTGTGCACCACCATGACCAGTTAATTTTTTTATTTTTGTAGAGATGAGGTCTCACTATGTTGCCGAGACTAGTCTTCAACTCCTGGACTCAGGTAATTCTCCTACCTTAGCCTAAGAGAGTGCTGGAGTTATAGGTATGAGCCACCAAATAAGACCAAAATTTTTTTAAATGAGAAAATAAATTTGAGAATTTGGGGAAAGTGTTTATAATGACAAGCAAAAATGAAAATATATAACATCAGAAATTAACATAAAATTTTAATATAAAATGCAAGACACGAATTTCATGCCCACACCCTATAATCTTGCAGACTCAGATAATCTGCTAAAACAGAAAATGTGTGATTACAGACAAGTATTAAGAACATACGTCACAGTCAGACATGGTGGCTCACACCTATAATCTTAGTACTTTGAGAGGCAGAGGCAAGAGGGGTTCGAGACCAGCCTGGGCAACTTGGCAAGACTTCACCTCTACAATAAATCAAAAAATTGGCCAGCTGTGGTGATGCATGCCTGTAGTTCGAGCTACCTGGAAGTCTGAGGTAGAAGGATCACCTGAGCCCAGCAGGTCAAGGATGCGGTAGCAGTGAGTGCGCCACTGCACTCTAGCCTGGGCAACAGAGTGAGACTCTTGACTCAAAGTTTGCCAGGTGTGGAAGTAGGCCCAGCTACTTGGGAGGCTGAAGAAAGAAGATCACTTGAGCCCAGGAGTTCAAAGCTGCAATGAACTATGTACTCCAGTTGGATAACAGGGAGAGATCCCATCTCTACAAACAAGACACACACAAAGCAATAGCTTTAAGTTGGTGACTCAGAGAATGAGAAAGTCACTTACAGAGAAAGGAAAGTCTAATTACCACGTGAACAACCAGCTACTCTTTAGTTATGGTGTGTTTTGTTTTTTTTTTTTTAGTTGGAATCCCACTCTGTCACCCATGCTGGAGTGCAGTGGCAAGCTCACGGTCACCACAGCCTCAACCTGCTGGGCTCAGGGGATCCTTCCACCTCAGCCTTCCAAGTAGCCAGAACTATAGACACACACCACCATGGCCACCTGGCTAATTTTTTGATTTATTGTAGAGATGAGGTCCCACCAAGTTACCTCAGTCTCCCAAAGTGCTAGGATTACAGGCGTGAGCCACCATGCCTGGCCAAGTCATGGTTCTAAACATTATCTGCCAGAGGTGTCATTTACGGTAGTAGAAGTTCTTAAGTATCCCTCCCTTCTCCATCCACCAGTTTAAACAAATCATTCATTTACTTAAAAAATAATTGTTGTACAAGGCTACTATAGGCACTGGGGAATCAGTAATGAGCAAATAAAACAAAAGTCCAAGCCGGGCTCGGTGGCTCAGCCTGTAATCCCGTGCCTTAGGGAGGTTGAGGTGAGTGGATTGCCTGAGCCCGCGGGTTCGAGACCCGCCTGGGCAACTTGGCAAGTCCTAATCTCTACAATAAATCCAAAATTAGCCGGGCGTGGTAGCGCGCGCCTGTAGTTCCAGCTACTTGGAAGGCTGAGGCGGAAGGATCGCCGGCGCCCAGCAGGTTAAGGCTGCAGTGGCCGGGAGTGGCCACTGAACTCCAGTCTGGGCTACAGAGTGAGACTCCAACTCAAAAATAAAAATAAAAACAAAAACAAAAGTCTAAAAGCCTTCAACCATATGAAACACGACATTAAACTCATGAAAAACCTATAACTTCAGACTGACATGCCACAATTGAAATAAACATATATATGTGTGTGTGTGTGTGTGTGTGTGTGTGTGTGTATGTGAAAACATAAAAATTTTACATCGATGGTGAGTTGGAGACCATCTGTACTGGGCAAAATAATTGAATGAGGGTTCAAACTAAGACAAAGGCATAATAAGTGAAAAGAATGGAAAAGACTTAAAAGTCACTGCAAAGGTAAAGAATAGAACAGCATATTTTGTCAATTTCTTACTTTATCTTGCTTTAGCAAACGAAGTCCCCCTCATCTTTCCTTTTTTTAACAGCTTTATTGAAATAGACTTTAAGTACAGCAAAGCACACCAACTAACTTAAGAGTGTGCATCAAATATTTTGGGAATAAATACAGACTTGTGCATTCATCACTATAATGTAATTTAAGAAAATTTTCATTATCACTCAAAGAATCCTATACTCAACAGTGTTCACACCCTACCCCTTCTCCCCTT